AGCTGAATGTAAGCTCCATGAAGACCTCCAGGAATTCTTGCCTGACGTGTTCACTGCTGAATCCTCAGCAGGTTCTCATTGAATGAATGAGCCACATCTGAATATTCTAGTGGGATTCCTGGTTGGGAGTGAGCTCTATGGGATTCATCATTATCTAAAAATACATGGTGGAGTCATTTGATAAATACATGGTGGAGTAATTATTCAGTCAGTACCTTCTGTCCGGGTCTTTGGAAAATGAGACTGATTAATGGACCTTTTTTGTTAATTCGTGGGAAGCAGTAAGGTAAGGATACCCACAGCCCTTGGAGGTAGGCAGACGGGCTTTGAATCCAGGGTGTGCCACGTGTCAGCTGTGTGACTTGGCCATGTTGCTGAGCATCTCAGAGCCTGTGTCACTGACGGTACTTGCTGGAAGTGCCCAGCAGTCCAGGGCAGGGTTGGAAGCCCACCACTTGCCCTCCTTGTCCTTTCTGCAAGACGGACAGGACCACCTCCAGGACCTTCCCAGGTTCTGTGCCCTCTGGGACCTGCTGGTGGGGTGAGCAAGCCATGGTCAAATATACTGCTCAAGAGGGACAGGCAGGGACATCGCTGAGATCACAAAAGGGGAGGTGACTCAGTCCTGGCCCAGCCTGAGGTCCCCTCTCCAATCCCCCCATCCCCTCCCTCCCCGAAGCCTGAGGTTATAAACAAGTGACTCAGAGGAATGATGGGAGAATGCCCCATAACAGTTCACACCAGTGTCCTGGGGGCTAAATTTAACCCACAGCTGCAGCCTCAGGCACTTTGGGAACAAGTTAATCTTGGTGGCTGAGGCTGATGTGTGTGTGTGAAGGGGGGGTGGGGTGGTCAGGAGTCCAGCCCAGTGTGGGCATAGGGACTGACTGTCCTGGGTCTCTATCCTGATCCCTTCGACTGTAGAACAGGGTGCAGGGACCCCAAGGTAGGCAGGCTCAGGCCAAGCCTAATATGGACCAAGACCAATGAGCACAGACAGCAAAAGTCATTTTGAATCCTAGAACCCCGAATGTCATTCCCCCAGAATGTTAACCTTTATCCCATGAAAGGGAACTTTAGTTCCCGGCAAGGAGTGGGTCCCGCTGGCCGAATTTAAATGCTGACGGAATTTAAATGCCGTCTTTTAAAGGTTAAATACTCAGAAACCTAAGCATATACGTTCTTTTTTACAGGCAAAAGGAAAGAAACCATTATTTGTACAGTTGATCCTGGAAAATATATGGAGTTTGTATGATGCTGTCTTTTAAATGCCATCTTTTAAAGGTTAAAACCCTGGGGGGTTAATCACCTAGAAGAGTCGAATTCTAGGAAATTGATTCTCTAGCATATCTGACACCTAACAATGTTAAAACCCTGTGACCGTGGACTCCCAGGAACGCAGAACCTCAGCAGAACCGAGCTGAGGCCCTCCGAGTCTAACTCTCCCGCCTCATTGGGTAGGAAGGGAAACTGAGGCTCAACAGAGCCATTTGACCTGCCCTGGGCTCCACAGAAAAGTGGCCCCCGTGTTTCCCGAAGGCACCTTCTTGCTTTCTTGCACAGTAGAAGGAGGGTCTCAGAGCTGGGGAAGAAATGGGAGACGATCTTCCCATTTTAAAGGTGGGACAACAAGGTCCCTAATGAGTGAATGCCATGCTCAAGTTCACTGAGCACAAAACCCAAGCACGCTGTTATCCAGAGGTGGCTGGAGTGAGAGGTGCTCCAGAGAGGAAGACAGAGGCACCTGACGGAAGGACCCAGAAGGCCCGAAGTAAGGGAGACAGGAAGGTGGGGCTCCGACACCTGCCCCTCCCTGATGTAAGGGACAGAGCTTGGGTCATCCCCTTCCCCAGGGACACTGCCCAACCAAGGAATGCAGTCAAGGCCGCGCTGTGCTCCATTTAGAAATGAGGCGGCAAGGCCCTCCACTTTCCAGGAGGGCCCAGAAACCCCACCCCGGTCCCATGAGCCCCCAGGGCTGAGTCAAGGCCGTGCCGGGAGAGGGCCTGGCCCAGCTGTCCCCTCCGAGTCATGTGCAGGCGGCCAGGCGGCTCCCCTTACAGGGCCCTGTCCACCTCTATATATAGCCCCGGGAAGACAGCTGCTGGACTGAGCGCCACCCAGCAGGCGAGCAGGGCGCGCAGACAGGAGGCCCCCGCCGCACCCTCGGTCGCCGCACCCTAGGCCGCTCGCCATGGCGCTGGGCTTGGAGCAGGCGGAGGAGCAGCGGCTGTACCAGCAAACGCTCCTGCAGGACGGGCTCAAGGACATGCTGGACCACGGCAAGTTCCTGGACTGCGTGGTGCGGGTGGGCGAGCGCGAGTTCCAGTGCCACCGCCTGGTGCTGGCCGCCTGCAGCCCCTACTTCCGCGCGCGCTTCCTGGCCGAGCCCGAGGGCGCGGGCGAGCTGCGCCTGGAGGAGGTGTCCCCGGACGTGGTGGCGCAGGTGCTGCACTACCTGTACACGTCGGAGATCTCGCTGGACGAGGCGAGCGTGCAGGATCTGTTCGCCGCGGCGCACCGCTTCCAGATCCCGTCCCTCTTCACCATCTGCGTGTCCTTCCTGCAGAAGCGCCTGTGCCTCGCCAACTGCCTGGCCGTCTTCCGCCTCGGGCTCCTGCTCGACTGCGCGCGCCTGGCCGTGGCCGCCCGCGACTTCATCTGCGCGCGCTTCTCGCTGGTGGTGCGCGACGCCGACTTCCTCGGGCTCTCGGCCGACGAGCTCATCGCCGTCATCTCCAGCGACGACCTGAACGTGGAGAAGGAGGAGGCGGTGTTCGAGGCGGTGATTCGG